TAACTAACTATATATGTTACTTGAAGCGCATAGTTTGTAACAGTGTAGATACAAAATATATTCTGATCAATACAATGTGCATTCCAAGTAAAACTATGACCTACCAAAATATAATCATCTAATATTTCCCATCTGTGAGATCCATCACAAAACCACTTACCCGTTCGCTATATATACAATCATTTCAACCTTATGTATAACAAGAGAATTATAATGTCTTTAATAATGACACTACCAATAATAAAATCAAATATAAAGTCCTCTAAGCCTGTCCACGTCAGATTATTAAATCAACTAATAATATTGGGGATTAACTTCAAATATCCCATGCCCTCCTAAACTCAACCTTACTACCCTAACCCTATTCATCCTATCCCTTTATCATTGCACTCCCTAAACTAGCCTTGGTCTATTTATTTCCGTTTATTCTTCAATTAAAAATCAATCACAATTCAACGACCTATATGGCCCACATCCTTATCTTAATCAATCAAATTTTTTTGGCCCACATGTTCTTCTTCTTCTTCGTATTCTTTCCTCCTCTTCATCCTCCATTGATGATTTTTGAAGCTTATAAAAAGGTAATTCTTGTTCGTTTTAGGTGATTTTTTTTTGTTAAATCACTCTTAAAATTTCATGTATATCAAAGATATATTCATTTTGATGAAAATTAGAGAGTTTAAAAACGATTTCAAAAACTGTGATAAGAGATCATAAGTATAATTTACGTCCGTTTTTGGTGATTTTTTGGGTGAAATGTTATTTAAAACATCTGTATAGCCCGGGTAGTGTTAAAAACATCAGATCCAATGATAATAATGTGAGATTAAAAAAGAATTTGAAAATTACCTTTATAGATTTTTGGATATATGTTATCTATGTTTTGATGATTTTTTGTTTGTAATTTCATTTAAGATGAATTATACATCATGGGTATTGTAAAATTCTAACAATAACGTCCTAAAAACGGATTAGTTTGTGGAAGAACAAATTCTGGGTATTACTAAGAGAACTACGCATTACTAAGGCAAAATAGTTTTACTATGATTTACTGGAATTACTGGGATTACTGGAATTACTCTAATAATGATAATACTAATGGTATTCTATTTTATCTCGGGAAAATGCAAAATCTGCAGTGCACATTCATTTGTTTTGATTATGGGGGATATTATATGAAAGGTGGGGCTGAAATAAAATTGATCTCGGGATATGGTGAAGGAGAAGAAGAAATTCACACGATTTGGTTTAGGAAGTCAATGGAGGAGATCACTTACTCTGGTTTGGTTTAACAAGTATAGGAAGAAGGCAGCTGAGATACTATACACAGTGAAGCTTGTGCCTATTGTGGAAGCAGAAATGTCTAAAAGATGTGTTGATGCAGGGTTTCTCACGGTTGACGAGTTATATAGCTTCCATCAAGAGTACAGTGTGCATGGTTCTGACGGGAAGGTTTATACTGTTGATTTGGATATGAAAACTTACAGCTGTGAGCAATTCGATAAAGACAAATATCCTTGAGTGCATGGAGTAGCTGCTGCCACATTCGTAACTAAGGCAGCTGGAAGGAAATCCATCTATCTGAGTATTGTTCGAAATACTATTTAGTGGAACAATGGGCTTTGGCTTATCACAGGACAATATATCTTGTTTCTCATATGTTTGATTGGTTTATACTAGAAGATGTTAGAGCAAAGAAAACAATTCCCCAGATCATGAAAAGAAGAAAGAAAAACCATAACAAACAAGATTTCCATCAGTATGAGAATCCCGTGGAAGAGGAAAAAGAGGCAGAGGGGGAGCTAGAGGAGACAAAGGATTACTCGTTTTACTATGTGTAAACTGGACTACTAGTTATTACTAGTTTTATAATATGTAATTCGAACTACTGGGGATTACTTGTTTTATTATGTGTTATTCGTAACCAATATATATCACTAGGTAAATTGTTTATGATATACATTTAAACTATTTTTTATGATTATTTTCACTTCCTAGGCTATGTCTATGATAAATATATACATCTAAACTATTTTTGATAATTATTTTCAATAATTAAAGAAAAGCTTATCAGTTTCCTAAAAAACATCCTTAACTTTCTATGTTAGTTTGTGAAAGGTTCTAGTATAGTGAAGAGAATTTTTCAAAATATGTATTCCTTGTAAATTGTTTATGCAAATTTCTTCCTTAACAAGATTGACTAGGTAAAATCATTGGTTTTACTACAAAACCTTCAATTTTGTGATGGTTTAACTAGATAAACGTAAAAATTGCCAAAGTATTACTATGTGTATAGTAGTATTACTACAACCTTGGAGATTATTAAGTGTATTACTAAGTGTTACATATAATACTAAATTTATATATGACGGCTGGACGTTTTACATGTGAAATTTGACGGCTGCACGTTTTACATGTGAAATTCATTTTTTTTTTAAAAAAAAAATCATTTCATCCATTTTATTACATTACAACAAACCCAGTAATTCCAGTTATCACATCTATTCATTTTTAGGCAGAGTAACACCTGTAATTCAAGTTATCCCAGCTATTCCATTACCTGTCTTAAACATCCAAAAGAACATTTCAATAGAGTTTTAACATCCAACAACAAACACCATGTATTCTCCTACAAGTTTCGAACATCCAAAATACTTAAATAAACCATCTAAATACATAAGGTAGCTTCATACATAAGCCTTTAAACCTTTGTTTTAGGCTTCTTCCTCGCCTTTTTTCCCGTCGTGAAAGGAGTCTGCACCCACTGTGATGGTTCAGACTTCCTCTTTCCCGTTATCGTAGGTGCAGCATCAACAGCTCTCGTCCTTGGTCCGTCCCTGTTCTTAGGTCCAGCAGTCGGTCTGGCTTTTTTACTTGAACCTTTCCTCGGTTTTCCATATCTTTTTATCTTCTCTTTGCATCTAAGCAAGATCCCCAGGCCGTCTCACTGCTTCTCTGACCTCATCTGTCCAATCCATCCTATACTCACAACCCTTGTAGACAACCATGACCCAACCTTGTTTTTCTTCTTCAGTATATTCCTGAACTGCTGCCACTTCCTCCTTTTTTCTCAGACTCAACCGCAGCCTCATTGATCTCAGCCTCTTTCCCTCCAACCTCTTCTTGTACATCTTGCCCTCCAAATCCTTCTTCCTCCATAGGGTTTTTGTTCAGGTCCATATGTGACTGAGAGCGATACGTAACTTGGTTCTCTATCTTGCATACTCTTCTTACTATTCTTAATATTCTTATTCTTCTTACTCTTTTTACTCCCCTCAGGAATTACTGGTGTTTTTGCAATTGGGATTGTTCTCGGCCTAAGAGATAGACAGCGCCTTTCATTGGGGAATCCCTTATTCTTTGCCACCTTTTTGTTTTCCTTCATAACTTTCCTGTAAAAGACATTGCAACACTCAATCACTCTAAATGCAAACCGCAAACAACAAAACAACATCAATTAAGTCTCATCACCAACTCGCTTTCACATTAAAACACATACACAATTCATATATATATTCTCCCTAATTTAGAGTCTCTGATTTAACAAACATCTTACCAATTCAACTTATTCAGTAAAAAATCATATGAAAATCGCACAATTTTATCCAAAATAGGAGTCTAAAATCAATCCCAAAAATACTTTATATCAAAACATATCTGAAATTTAAGATTTCACCATGTCTCCCCCCCCAATTTTATAGCACCAACTAGCACAATACTTTAGTTTCGTCTACAATTTACATGTTTTCCCCAATTTCCCCAAATTTTTTTCTAACCTAAAAAATAAATTGCGACGAAATCAACCAGAATTAATCGGAGTTGATCACTTACGAAGACAAAGGATGTCAAGTTGGAGATGAAGGCTTGATTATCGCAGAAGAAGAAGAAACAAAGAGAAGAGAGAAATCGATTTAGGGTTTATCAGGAAGAACTCCCTTTTTTATCGTAAAAGAGAGAAGAATAGGATCCGACAGGTGAAGAAATTGAGATTAGAGAGAAAAGATAACTGAAACACTAAAACGTCACCATTTAGACTAAGAAACTGGGTTGGATCCGGATGGATCCGGATAGATCGAACTACCATGGTTGGGTTATGTAATTAGATGATTTTCGTTTGGGTCCTCTTGTCTTTAACCAGCTTTGAACCATTTTTTCATTTAAAATAAATGTAAAAGAAAATAAAGGGATAATAGGGAATTTTTTTTGAGGGTATGGGGTATATAGAGTTAATCCCCAATAATATTGTTTGAATCATCCACATCATATCTTTTCTATTTTTTGTTTTGGGCTTTGTTTCTTTTTAGTGTTTGGGCTTCGAATTGGACCAGGGTTTTAAAAAAAAATTTGGGCCCATTTGAGATTCATGTTATGCTTTGCTTTCTTCGTCAATAGCTTCCGACGATTCTCCTCCCAAGCCATCGTTTCTATTATCTGCAAATCTCAGTTACTCTAAACTCTAAATCGTTGATTCTATTCTTTACACCTTCATTCAAGATGCAACCTTCCCCCTCGTTTTTGTTTTCCTCATATATAATATCTTTCTCTATTCTTCAATATACTGTAATCTGTAACCTTCGAAGATCAAGCTATGGCCATGAGATCTGCAAAATCCTCCGAAATGTCTCATATCGCCTTATATTTCACTGACATCTTATCGGTCCTATAAGGTACAGATTTTTAAACTTCTTCTACCATGACTCAGATAAAGCTTGGTAACAACTTTGTGATTTCTTTTCTTAGTATTGATTCATATATGTAGAGGTTTATGAGGTAGAAGAATGAAGGAGTGGTCTTTCAAAATCGAAGCTTCTGGTGAGAGTGGGTTTTGGGAAAGTTGTGATATCACTGTTCAAATGTAAACTTGCAGGTTCACATGTAAATCAAACTTCTGATTTGATGTTCAGTTTTCAATTGCTTAAATACTTATGCTCTGTTTTGTTTTGGGTTATAATGTTTTATGTAGCAGAGTCAGAGTCAGCAAAGACAACAAAGTGAACGTTATGGAGAAAACAAGGCAAGATTTACAGCCACTGAGGCAACAACACTTTTCCCGGCTGATGAAAGAGTTCCAAGGGACTGATTTGTGGAAGCTGCCGCGAGCTTATTCCCTAGGGTCAGTGAGATAAAAACCACTGATAATCAATATTATGAGGCAATGTAGACTCTCTTGATCTATGTTTTTATCTGCTAAAAAGTTCTGCTATGATCATAACAGCAAGATCTCTGTGAAATAGTAACCTTTGATGCATTTTAAATTGCAGTGCCTCAAGTAATCTTCCAAGTTGTTTCTTTTAAGAGAATTTATGGAGTTCTTACTGATACACTCACATGTTGAGTTTAATGAGTTTGGTGAAGCTCAATGTTAGCTGCAACTGTTGATTGGGACGAAGCATTCTAGTCGACGCTGAAATATTGTATTAGAGCACTTCAGGATATTATATGCTTGGTTAACGTAGACGAATTCAAGTCACTTCTCTCTATATCCTTTTTCTGTAAAAACTGATTTGAGTTATTGAATGGTATTTATACTAACAAGAACATTGTCGTGTGACACGATTAAAGAAAGCGCTCGCTTAGAGCGCCATGGCGCTAGGCGAGGTGTGGCGATGTCCTCATCGACTTAGCACCTCAAGGCGTGGCCACATACACAAAGCGAGCGCTTTCTACGCTTTTTTTTCTAAAGGTCAAGATGCATAAAGCGACGCCTTACTGATGTTGAGGTCAAACCGAATTGGTTTTCTAAAATCAACTACTAAACCGAATACCAAACCCTAAGAACACATACCCTAAGTTTAAAGTTACGATTTTGAGCTATTTTTCTTTTCTCTATTCAAGTGAATTCAAGTTTTTGATGTTTAGGTTTCTTCTCCTCTTTTATATCACTTGTAATTACACTGTTCTGGTTCAACTTCTAGTCTATCTATGCCTATGTTCATGCATGACCTTTCTTTGCTTTCATACACAAAGCGAGCGCTTTGTGTCGCCATAGCGCAAGGCGAGAGGCGAGACACCCGTTGCCTCACCTCGCCATGCGCTTTTTCAAACCAAGGTCGTGTCAGGTTTGTTATGTTGTTGTGAGGTTATGAGAAGAATTTCTAGGAGTATCTGTTCTGAGGAAGAATCAGTCCTGTAGCTTATAACAATGCTGTAGAGAAGGCAGGCTTTGGAGAGGATCAAGCATAAGAGTTCATCCCTTAGAAAGGTAGTTTAGTGACCATGTCTGTATCTATTTTTTACAAATTATGGTTCCCATTTAATTATTTTTTTGTGTTTGAAAAATCAGGTCATTCTTGCTTGAAACAGCAGAGTTATAACATATACCATCATTGATCCCACTGCTTGGCTTGTACAGTTACTGGTATGCTCTGGATATCTATATAGTAATCGTAGAACTATAAACGCAATTTTATGACTTAAATCTCACTCTAAAAATTATTCTGGTACAGGACGAAGGGCATGTCGCATATCAGTTTTGTCTTCAACCACCAGGTGCACCAGCTTTTATCTATAACACATTTTGGTACAAGTAGTTTGTTGATACATTTTATTTTGATTTCAGTAGTTAATATGTTAGGCCAAAAATCCTGACACTAACATTTCCTTGTGACATGCATCTTTGTGAAACAGCCTGAGAGACTTTTCCAAAGAAATTAGTTAGGTGTCTACAGTGAAGCTGTGCCTACAACCAGGCCTCTAGCTGCTCCAATGGATCGTGATATGGAGATCGAGAGTGACTTACTAACCAGGTCATTTATTTTACTTTCTGCTTTGTACCATCATAGAATATTTTGTTAATCTTATGGTGATTTTGATGCGGTTGAACAGTTTGTTTTTCTGCCTAAAGCCCGCCACTGACGTCCTCATATCTCTCTTTTCTCTCCAATGAAGTAACCTTATATCCACCGGTGTTCAAGGGAAAGGAGCCTTGTTGAATGGAAAACAAATCAGAGTTTGTAACTTTTATATACATCTTTCACACCTTTACAGTCTAGAGATTTTGTTGGTCAAGTTATATATATGTTCATTTTCTCAAGATGAGAACAATGTTTTTTTTTTCTTTTATCAGTGTCAACTCAGAGCGAACTTGTGACTTCTTTGCTCCTAGTAGAGGTAAAACATATCTTCCTTTGTGTCTTATGAAGCCACATCCGCTCATCACTTGTGTGAAAACAGGCGGGGGTTAAACAAGATAAAGCTACATTAGACGATGCAACCAACAGAATCAACATTTTGTTGACCAAGGTGAGAAACTTCATCATTTGGATCTAACCTCTGCTAATACTCATGATCGTATCTTCTCTTCTGTATTCTTTCATCAGGTTAGCAACATTAGGATCTGTGGCTCTTGCGCACTGGACCTCTGCGGTGTAGCCTGTGGAACGGCGGATATCTTCAAGGAAATCGATTTTGGTGGTCCATGGTAAAAAGCCTTAAGTTTGGTTCTTGGAGTTTCAAGATTTGAGCTAAAATTGTATATTAATATCAAATTTATCATTTCACAGGGACGTTGCAGCAGGAGTTGTGATCATCAGAGAAGCTGGTGGACTTATCTTTTGATCCGTAAGAGTTTATATTTTTAAGACAAAAGCCAAACACACTCAATGCTACAATGGACCAAGCTTTTTAACTTGTTTTTTTTGTTTGTATCTATGTGTAATGAACAGATCTGGTAAAGATTTGGACATCACATCACAGAGAATTGCGGCTTCAAATGCTTCTCTCAAGGAGTTGTTCGTGGAGGCGTTGAGACTTAAAAATGTGTGAAAGTCAATTTATTCTTTGTTATGGTCACACTTCATGAACTCATACAAAAACCATATATTGAGTTTGGGACAAATAAAAGCATTTCTTTTTAGTACAATGTCACAAACAACCTGATAGACTTTGACTATCCGATTCCTTATGTAAACTCAAGTACGTTGTATATATCTTCGAATCAGATTACAAATACGTATGACTCGACCTTTAGATTCGAATCTGAGAAACCGTTGGCTTCACCCAAACGGTATACTCCTCAAGTCGTTAGACTCAATTCAAATCTAAAAGCTAACTGACACATAAACCAACAAGCTGGTTTATATACAACAATACCACAAACCGAAAGACTCTAATTCAAAACAAGTATCTCACTTCATTATTTGAATTACTCTGCCACGTCATTCTTCAACGGACTCTTTCCCTTTCTTCCTTCTCACGTATACCCTGTCCAGCCTATCTATACCCCCTCCTTTAACACTCAGCTTGCCCTCAAGCTGGTAGGATGGAAACTGCTTGCGAAACTCTTTAACCCCTACCCAAGTAGCTTCAGTACACGGCAGTCCAATCCACTTCACCAACAATTCCAGATGTCCCTCCGCTGTGTAACGACTCTCTAAAATCTGGTCCGGCTCGATTAAAACTTCGTCCTCATCCGATATCTGGGGTGGTAACGGCAATACCACATGGTGTTTCCCAATAACTGCCTTTAGCTGAGACACATGAAACACCGGGTGTATCTTAGAGGATGCAGGAAGTTGAAGTCTGTACGCAGCTTTACCAATTCGCTCCAACACCCGATATGGACCAAAGTACTTCGCAGAAAGCTTTTGACAAACACGCTTAGCCACTGATTGTTGCCTGTAGGGACGTAATTTCAAATATACCAAATCGCCCTCCCCAAATTCCACGTCTCTACGATGCTTATCCGCATTGTTTTTCATCAATTGTTGAGCATGTATCAAGTGCTGCTTTACTTCCAACAACATCGCGTCTCGCTCAATCAACTGCGTTTCCAAATCAATATTTGTAGTAGACCCCTGCTCATAACGCAACAACGCTGGAGGATCCCTGCCATACACCACCCGAAATGGAGTCATCTTAAGAGAAGTGTGATACGATGTATTGTACCATAACTCTGCCCAACTCAAGTACTTGGACCAAGTCCTGGGATGACGTGAAGCGAAACAACGCAGGTAAGTCTCTAAACAACGGTTCAGGACTTCCGTTTGACCATCCGTTTGTGGGTGAAATGCAGTACTAAACTTGAGTTTGGTATCTGCCAGACGAAAGAGTTCCTTCCAAAAGTGGCTGAGAAAAACTTTGTCACGATCCGAAACAATTGTTTTAGGAAAACCATGAAGCCTAACCACCTCCCCAATGAATCTGTTCGCCACATCAGAAGCTTGAAACGGGTGTTTCATTGTCAAGAAATGTCCGTATTTACTTAAGCGGTCCACAACCACAAAAATGACGTTACTGCCGTTAGATCTTGGCAGGCCTTCGATAAAATCCATGGAAATGTCTTCCCAAACTTGCACTGGAATTGGTAGTGGTTGCAGAAGACCGGCTGGTGAAAGTGTTGAATATTTATGGGTTTGACAAATCTGGCAAGCAGACACATACTGTTGGACGGAGCGAAACATACCCTCCCAATGAAACCATAGCTGAATCCTTTTAACCGTTTTGAGAACACCAGAATGTCCCCCAGCTAAGCCATCATGACATTCTGCCAAAATCAGTGAGATAAACCTTGAAGAAGATGGTATAACTAATCTGCCTTTATACCAGAGCTTGTCGTCACAAACTGTGAAGCCAGCCTTGACCAACTGACCGGCTTTGAGTTGCTTAATAGACTCTTGAATCACTGAATCAGCCTCAATCTCCTGATATAATTCCTTCATTTGTAACGGTGATGGAGCTGAGATGGCCAACAGAGTCGATGCAGTAGTCAATCCCCCTGAATGATCTATCCTTGACAAACCATCAGCTGCTGCATTCTGAAAGCCCGGTTTAAACACTATATCGAATTCATATCCCAACAGTTTCACTAACCACTTCTGATATTCCATACTCACCTCACGTTGTTCAAGCAGATATTTTAAGCTTCGCTGGTCAGTATGGACTACAAACCTGCGCCCCAACAAGTAATGTTTTCATTTCCTAATGGCAAGAACCACTGCCATCAATTCCCTTTCATAAATTGGTTTTAACTGCTCTCTTGCGGTAAGGCCATGACTGAAGTAAGCAATGGGTCGTTTATTCTGCATCAAAACTGCCCCAACCCCAAACCCGGAAGCATCTGTCTCTACCACAAACTGTTGTGTAAAATCGGGCAAGGCTAACACTTGAGCTCTAGTCATAGCAGTTTTCAAGTTGTCAAAGACCACCTGTTTGTCAGCAGACCACGTAAACTGATCCTTCTTGAGCAATTCCGTTAGCGGCTTAGCCAAAACACCATAATTTTTGACGAAGTTGCGATAGTACCCAGTGAGTCCCAAAAAACCCCGCAGCTGTTTGATGTTCTTTGGTGTTGGCCATAGTCTCATTGCTTCAGTCTTAGCTGCATCTGTTGCCACTCCTTCCTCTGAAATCACATGCCCCAAATACTCTACACTGCTCTGACCGAATACACATTTCTTC